ATTACATTTTCAATGTTTTTCTTATTGCAGCGAAATGCATTTTATTAAATAACTCTGCGAGTTTTCAACATTTTTCGTTCAAACTTGGTCAGATAGTAGAACTAGTCTAATGCTTTCATTGAAACCAATAAAAAATTTTAGGCAAAATTAACACTCAAAGGTGTTCTGTAACCTTAAGTAAAGTTACTAATAAGTAAAATAACTTACAAGTTCCACGCTGCATTCCTTCACCGTGACGTCATAAAACATGAACGTTTCTACTGGCTTTCGACTATCTTTTCAACTTCCGGAAAAGACACAGTGAAATATTTTCCATATCTTCACTAGTGATCACACGTGATAGATCACACGTGATCATTTCCCGCATATAATTTTGTTTTTAAAATGGCGACTTTTGTAAGAGTCGCGAACCAATTTTCATCTTTGTTGAAAGAGTAAAACGACATGTTCTTCTCGCAAAAATGAAAATACTACAAGAAAAAACTAAAATGATGCACAGGTAGTCTTTGAGTTCAAATAATGCGATGTAATTCATTGAAATAAAGTCAATTTTTACCATTATCGATCAAAAATTAATATTACTGACCGGGTTTTTATATTGTTTACAACTATATAATGAAAAGAACATTACACGGCGGTTTGAAGATATGAATTTTATCTTCTCGTGGTGAAAACAATATTTCAGTCATTCGCTGCGCTCATTCGTGAAATATTGTTTTAACCACTCGAAGATAAGATTCATATCTTCGCACCGCCGTGTAATATTCTCTATATGTTTTCACCTGTATGTGTGGGTGTGTGTGTGATTTTACCAGACATTATTAATAATTATGCGTGTTCAGGTCGTTTATTGAAGTGAAGTTTGTCATCTCCGAGTCCCATAGGGAGTATATTTGCAATAAATATGAAACATATCGACACGAAATAATTATGTAAAAAAATTAATTATTTTCTATATCGGATTGGAGATATAGTACAAATTAACGAAACCGTACACTTTTCCTGTAGATGGATGACAATCGTCCATATGAGTATCCATCAATCTACATGTTGATTTTATAAACTTGACAAAACTGCTGTTTAAACTTGCTCTGAACCTTGCTTCTTGTTGTTGCAAAGTTTCCAAAATTTGAACAATCTTTTATCTAGTATTCCATATGTAAGTAGATTTACTGAATGCGACCCAGCATCTGGCAGAATATCACCCAAAAAAGGAATCCAACTGTAGGAGTCACCTTAAGTAAACAAATTTTAATTATAGAATCAATGCAGATTGGGAAATTTACAGCATGTTCATTTTGCCACATGCACAAATGGTTAGAGAATATAAAAGTTATAATTCGATAATTATATGCGGATAAGCGATTAATTAATCTTTAGTTACATCACATTCATTTTGCGAAGAAATTCTTTCAGGTGAACCAACATTGCCATCCCAGTACGATCCAGGACGCCAGTTTTCGCGGTAACCGTTTCAAGATCATGTACGGACACGTTAAGGTGCAGTGCCAGCTCTGCGGCACGATGGGGGAAGTCAGCCTTGACATGAAAAGCCACTAGACCGGTGGCCACATACGCTGCATGGAAACTTTTATCATACCCCCGTTTTTGTCGTCGGATCGCCGAGATAACCATAGAGCTGGATACAAGACGAGTATCGGAATACGTCCCACGAACCATCTCCGCCATAAAAAGCGTCGTATGAATATACTCGTGCACTATTTGCTCTGCCAGAAACGGCACTGACCAGTCACTACCTTTGCTTGGATCCAACCATATGAGACCAACTGCGGAAGAAACTGTCCCTCCAAGATGGCCTATACCTGCTGCTTTGTAATAGCCAATGCATGCGACGACTTGCACGAGTGAACGATAAAGTGTCTCGTCCGTCTTACGGATGTAAATCATCGCTTTTCTTGTTTTCTCTCTAAGTTCGAATTCTTCTTCACTGTTAAACACATGCTTTCCACTTAAAATGAAATGTTTTGGATTTACCAGAAGGCCCGCTCTGTACATTGCTTCAACAACCTTTACATCACGGAAACTCAAGATAATCTCGTTCTCGCGAAAAGGTATATCTAATCCTTGGACTTGCTTCAGTTTATTGTAAAACTCAGTCTTTGTATTCCTTATTTTCGTACAATCTCCACCAAGAGCGTAAATAGCGAACATTTGGTGTTCTTTGTTAACACTATAACGAAAAGACCAGAAATCACGCAACACATAGTCGTGAGAACCTGAAGAAAGAACGTCTCCCGAAAAATTCGATGAATTCTTCTTTTCCAGTTTTTCCGGAGTACTTTCTCCTGATGAAAGCCACGAAACATCCTTGGAATAGTGTAACTTGGTCACGGTCTGGTGGCTGCGCGCATTTGAAGCACAACATACGTTTATGGCATTGTCAATGACGCCAGTTATGTCCAAAAATGATAATTTTAAGCTCTTATTCTGTTCATTTTGGACTCCAGCGTTGTTGTTTCTTTTTTTTGAACAAGCATTACCATTTTTATTTGGTTTGTCTTGCACTCTCATCAACCAAGCATTATCGTTCTCATTTGGTTTGTCTTGTACTCTCATCAACCAAGCATTATCGTTCTCATTTGGTTTGTCTTGCACTCTCATCAACCAAGCATTATCGTTCTCATTTGGTTTGTCTTGCACTCTCATCAACCAAGCATTATCGTTCTCATTTGGTTTGTCTTGCACTCTCATCAACCAAGCATTATCGTTCTCATTTGGTTTGTCTTGCACTCTCATCAACCAAGCATTATCGTTCTCATTTGGTTTGTCTTGCACTCTCATCAACCAAGCATTATCGTTCTCATTTGGTTTGTCTTGTACTCTCATCAGCCAAGCATTATCGTTCTCATTTGGTTTGTCTTGCACTCTCATCAACCAAGCATTATCGTTCTCATTTGGTTTGTCTTGCACTCTCATCAACCAAGCATTATCGTTCTCATTTGGTTTGTCTTGTACTCTCATCAGCCAAGCATTATCGTTCTCATTTGGTTTGTCTTGCACTCTCATCAACCAAGCATTATCGTTCTCATTTGGTTTGTCTTGTACTCTCATCAGCCAAGCATTATCGTTCTCATTTGGTTTGTCTTGCACTCTCATCAACCAAGCATTATCGTTCTCATTTGGTTTGTCTTGCACTCTCATCAGCCAAGCATTATCGTTCTCATTTGGTTTGTCTTGTACTCTCATCAGCCAAGCATTATCGTTCTCATTTGGTTTGTCTTGCACTCTCATCAACCAAGCATTATCGTTCTCATTTGGTTTGTCTTGCACTCTTATCAACCAAGCGTTATCGTTCTCATTTGGTTTGCCTCCGTCTCCAAACAACGCAGGGTCGGTCTTACTACGTTTGAGATTGGCAGAACTTCTTTCAGGGGACTGGTGCTTGTGTACGTGTTCGGCCAAATCTACTGCAAAAAAACATGAGTAAATTTAGCACAAATGAAATAGTCCCAGAGCCAACGGCGCTTGTTGGCGCGGAGCGCCGTTCCGGGCGTAAGCCTGGGACGAGAGTTACTAATTCCGCTTTAGCATTTACGTACATCGGGATAATGCGATCCTATATAGCTCAGTGGCATAGCGGAATGAAAAGTCGTCCGCCTTTTTCTTTGTCATGGACGTTGGTAGGTCATTCAAGTTATGCGCATGAGTCCAGACCGAGAAAAAGCTGGAAACTATTAGCGTCGTGATTGGCTTACAAAAAATTACAAAAATATTTTGTTTTGTTAATGTCACGTCAGAAATTTAACGGTCATTTTGAAAATATATTTTTCACCGTAAACAAAATTTGGTAAAGAAATATCCTCGGAAATATTGCCAATATTTAGATAAAACAACGATATTATAATAAAGAAAAAGTCGAGTAATAAATTACAAATAGGAGCAAGATAGAATTGGAATAAACGTGAAGAAAAACTCGAGGAAAAGGGACGAAAAGGACGAGCGTTCTACTTGCTAACAAAGAATTTAATTTAGCCTAAGAACACAAGGCACGTTTTATTGTATTTTAATATTTCCATTATTTTAAAATATCAACAAATTTGAAATGAATAGGAAAGCGAAGCTACATTCATGAAAATAGTGTATGTCTTGAAATTTTATCGGTAAAAACTTTTAACAAAACGTTTATATATTCGGCGTAATACTTCCTATTTTATATCAAATTTAACATTATAATAGTATGTTTATAATGTTACTAATTAAAAAATTTGTGCAAATTATATATTTTGTAATTAAAACTGATATTTTTTTCATTATTTTCACATTTTTTTCAAAAATATCGAAAGTGTAAAAATGAAAACAATCTCGAAATACTTCATGTTCGGAAAATATAGTTCCTTGGATACCAAGGCGAGGGGTTGCTGCATGCATGTATTTCTAGTATATAGAGTAAAATTAGCATTCAAGGGAGCACACCTATACATAACACACAACGAAATAATTTGTATACGCAATAGTATGGTTCCGAGTGCAATTTAGAAACTAGTAGTTACTAGTAGTTACTTCCCTGGGGGAAGCAGGCATTCAGCTACCATGCTGCCAACGACTGGAATAGCCTGCCTGTGAAACTCCAGAATATACGTCAAATTAAAACTTTTAAAACTAAACTAAAGAAACATTTAGCTATATAGCCATAGGAAACCCCACCGAACTGATAGGATGCGCAAGAACTTTATACAATTCAAACCTTCATATATTCACTTTTGTTAGATATATATTTTTATTCTTTTATTTTTTATTTTTTATTATTTTTTTATCAGGGCTCCACTGAAAATCACTTTCGTGAGTGGACCCCCTGACTAAATATTGTAATTATCGCAAGGAAAGTGCTGCCGTGTCGCACAAACTGGATGCAAAATTCCCCAACCCAATAAAAGTACACTATTGAAATTGTTAATCAAATGACATACACTGTATGTATTTATTTCATTGAAAAACGTTTAAATTACAACACTGTTATTACAAAACCATTATTACTGCACCATAAATAGTAAGAAGTACTTTGGCTTTTCAAAGGGTTTTCCATTCAATGGTGTTCCATAGTCGATGGAATTCTTGGTACTAACATTAAATGTTAATTAATGAAAGTTATTCATTACTCCAAAGTTGTCAATAGCATCTTAAAGGGGAAGTCAAGTCCGTAATGTAAACAAACGGTTTGTTTACATTTTAAACTGCTGTATTTTTTAAAATATGATGTACTACCGTCTGAATATCTAACACCATTTTGGTTCGCTATGCTTCTAAATGAATATGAAATAGAGTTTATGTTCAGAAAAATTTCGAAACATTCGAAATTTGGGCAATGTTCACATTAGAGGTCCTCACATTGTTATGAGCAGAACCGATGCGCAGAACGGACTTGACTTCCCCTTTAAGTAATTACTTTCTAAAAATCACAGAGGCAAATGTTTTTTAGTATCTTCAGTTGTCTGTCTTTTTGTCTGTCTGTCTTTTTTGTTGTTGTATCTTCAGATTTGCCATATCCTATACATGTACATATTTCATACAGTATTTATTCATTGTAGCATTTGGTTCTATCAGTTAATCTGCGCTGTCCAGTAAATTGTTGAAACATATAACTGCATTATTGCAATCAACATACAGGTGTCTCCCAAAACACGTTGAAGCACATTACACTGGCTTCCAGCCGGCATTAATTCTTATGTAGCAAATGGCATCCAATTTGAGCGGATGATGTAATATGTTGGTATCCATGTTATACTATAACAACCATTTTGTTGTAGTATATAATTCTGTGTAACGCATTTCATAGTATCACAATAACAAACATGATTAACTTTAAACTCAGCAAGAGTTCTATAACTATATAGGTACAACAGAGAAATAATTAGTATGTATTATGCTAAATTTACCTGTTTTTAAAAAGAGAATTTCAAAAACACACAATTGGTTGATCAATAATAGTTTGGCCTCAACAGGCTCTGGAAGTCGCTCACAAAATATGTAATGCCTTTTTCCCTTTTTTACACTCCCTTACCCCCTGTGACGTTTGGTGTTACACCCCATGCAAAACTGTGCCACGCTATACAATCTCCCGCCCCCCTCCCCATGCCAACCCGATGCCAAACATGATCCGAAATTTACATCTATTTAATATAACCTTTCAATTTTACAATATAAATATTTTTCTACTCAGAGAGTTCCCATTCTGGGTCTTTTTCGTCTGCATTAAACATTGGAGTTCCATATTCTAGTACAGTAGGAGGGAAGTGCAATCCTATAGTGTTCACATCGCTCAAATAATTTAAATTTAATATAATCTTCAATGCACTATAAATGTCCAAATGTCATGTGGCCGTTTCACCCCTCCCCAAGCCGACGATGTGTGACACACAACACATGAATGAGCCCCCCCCCCCGCCCCCCAAAGGGTCACGTATTTTGTGAACGACCTCCTGCCATGATAGGCAGATCTCTTTTGTTTTGTTCCTCAGCAGGCTCTACCACAATGAGTAGATCAGTATCTGTTACCCTCATACGTGATGTTGTTGTTTTTGCCTGAACCTCGGCCTGAACAGGCGTTCGAGTTTGACATATCTCCTATGAAATGCCATTCAACATGTTCGTGCAACATGCAACTTTCTACAGAGAAAAATTGTACACCTGAGGCGAGGATTAAAGCATTTAAAGTGGTACTGTTACGAAATTTTCATTTCCGTATTTTTTCCTTTACTGTATAGAATACATATAAATAAGTTTTCTCGTAAAATTTTAGCGCGATATCTCAATTCCTGACGCAGTTATACGAAGATAAATTATATGAATAAATATTTGCCATATTTCAATACATGATGTGACAGGTCCAATTATTAACTCACGCAATATTTATTATTTTCATTCGATCTAAAATAGGTATTCCAACAAGGTCTACGGTGATGATTCATTCATATACGAGTCTATATATCAATCGGGATTATATATATTCATTTATTTTGTTCGGGTAATTGTTGCAAAAGCAACACGGCATTGCAAGGTTTGAACTGCCCGTAAAGTGTCCCATAGCAAACGCGCAAGTTGCATGTAAGCTGGACACTGCTCCTAGCAATCAAACATTCAAACATAATTTTAGAACTATGCGCGCAACATGTTAATAGGTCTATGTTTAAAGAATATTGAAATACAACAACGGACAATATTTCTAATATTCCGCAGTTGGCTCTTGTATTTTGACCTTCCCCAAAGGGCAAAACATAATTTTAATGCCCTTTCGTCTTCTATCCCAACGAAGCTGCTTCTAGAACAAATTTACCAGACTGCTTAAAAAACAGGACGATAAAAATGTACTTTGATTCTTTCGCCATCTTGAAGTATCTTCGAACTGATACATCTTAACTATCTCGTAACTGCAGGTTTATTGCAACAACAGGCCAACGGCATTCCTGTGGTATTATGGCAGCTAATTCCAGCACACATTAGAAACGCGCACTGCTTAGTTCTTAATTCTGGGTCGTAAGAAAACAAACTTTCCGAGGACAGCATATTCTTACTATTTTTCTGCCTCAGCCTCTTTTAAAATCGGCTGCTACGCAGGTGACGCGGCCTCTTCGTACGTGTTCTGCTATTTCCTTGGGTTAAGCTTAACTAGCAAGCTGCAACCGTATATGCTGCAAATGGTGAATATCTCAATATCAGATTCGCTTAAATTTGCAGTCGAATTCACAGATGAAGTAATTGTTTCAGTCGAGGAGTCAAAAACCCGACTAGCTTGTGATAAACTAACATTATCATCCCTACGCTACTATGTATTTGTATACTATTCAACTTGTGTTCGTATCGTATGTTAAGACTATGACGTCAGGAGCGCTTCGCGACCAAATATAATCAAGATGGCGGATTTTAATGGCGGACAGCGATTTTGGACATTTCAAATGCTCACAACTTTACAGTTGTTAATCAAGTTCGTTTGCAATTTCACACAAGCATTTATGGCACAATAATGAAACAATTGCTACATAAAAATGCGTCTTTTTTGATGATTGATTTTCGTCACAGTAGCACTTTAAAAACATTTATAAAGGCATTTATTCCTTTTAAATGTTATTCTCGACCATGAGTTTAGGTGGAATATTTCGTGCTGTAAGAAGGGCTGATAAACTCATAAAAGCACTGTTGTTAAGATAACTGTATTTTGTAGTTAATTCGTAGTTGACATTTTATGGTTGACATTTCGAAACAGTAAACTTGGGCAACCTATGTCCAATGAGGGGTTGCTAGGCAACGGGTTTTAAGGACGTTCGAAAAACGTTGTTCGTGAGA